TATATACATACATACATACATACATACATACATACATATATATATGTATATATATATATTTAATTCAAGTTTGAGAGCCATAATCATAAATTTTATTGTCTCAGCTCGAACCATGGTGGGCTCAAGTGGTCTAGACCCCTCCATCTGTGAATGAAAGTCCCTCTCCGTCCCTCCACTATTTCACATTCCTGGATCCACCACCCTCTTTCTACCTCCGTCTTCCCTTGATGTTGAATTATAAGGTAGTGGTAGTGGAAAATAACCCCTAAACTCGCTTATGCCATTGTGTTGAATTGCGTATAGTTTGTGAACAACTAGCCATCGTAAAGTGGTGCTAATAGTAGCTTCATTATCATACACACTACAGGGGCTGAAATGAGCCATAGCATCGGGGTAACTCCTACTTTTCTAAATGATGCAATGGGTAATTCTTTAAGGTGCTCATGCGAGCCAAATGTGAACAATTAACCGCCATTATCAGTCCTTTTCTGAGAAGACTTGGTTCTACTAACCAAACTCTGGGCGAGAAGGGACTCGAACCAGCGCCGTTGTTAAAGCTGTAGTTGGACTGTTTTTGGCTTTTCTCCTGAGTGAATTTTTTTTTCACAAATATGTGGATATGTACACCATGCAAATCATACATACATTTACTTTAATAAAAAAAAAAATTCTGCTAAGAAGTACGTCACAACAGTTTAGAACATGTGCCTATTTATGTAAAGCCATAGATACACAGCACCCAAGGCTTAACATCCATTCTGAAGGATGACATATTTACAGCAATTGAGTTTTTACATTTCATTATGTAATCTATCTCCATTTTGAATTATCCTCGTTTAGCTTTTCACCATCAAATGTCATCAAAATAGATGACCTTTCCATCCTCAAGATCATGTAACAATTTTTATGCATAATTGATTTTCCTTTAACTATTAATACAATGATAACAAGTGCAGGTTTACAATAAGTTGTGGGTCAACAATATCCTTCGCTAAGCATACATTATTGAAATTTCATTAGGCTGCAATGCACATTAGCAACCAGACATGGAATCATGTCAGTCAATGGTCATCGGCGCATTGTGTTCCTGGTTTTTATCTACTAACTCATTAATATTTTGGCCTACACAACTCGCAAGTTTCTAGTCTTTTGAGTTTCTACATATTCGTTCCTATACTTAGTTTTTCTTTCATTACAATAACAACATTTACATTGAAATAAAATAAAACAAAAGTAACTCCAAATAGAGAAAGTGAGGCCATATTTACTCAACGTCATCATCAGGAATAAAAATGTTTACAGTGTAATTACCAAAAATGCTACAATATGCAAATACAATTAATGCATTTACATTGCATTTTTATATTTTTAATGTTCTCTGAGTCTACTTTAAGCACTTGCAAAATAATATTTTTCTTCCAATCACAATAAATACAAAATCCACCAACATGTTAAAGAAACAAGTTAACATCTATTTATATAATAGTAAATTAAATTTATAAAATGTATTTATTTTATATAGAAATAATATTTGTATATTTATGCTTATCTATTTCTACTTGTATTACCCAAAAAACCATTAAATAAATATTTTTATTCTTATTGTGTATAAAATATATAAGCACAAGATGTATGTACAGTATATTATTTAACTCAGCGTTTCGCAAACTTTTTACTTCATGGCCTATTTACGCCAGGGACCAACATACCAAATCTTGGCAAGAATTTTTGATCATGAAGCTTCCATGTATATACAATACTTTGATATCATTATCTGTTCTCTCAGTGATAAAATTTTATTGTATAAAAATTAAATATTATTTTATTAAATAAATAATACCGTACATTTGTGTTTCTCCACCCACCTCCCCCCCCCCCACAATTGTTGATTGTTTTTTCTTTCTACCATGATTCAACCAAACACGGTTCAGCCAAACACGTCATAGTAGGGCCGTAGCCACGAGAAGTGAAATTGTCAGGTTGCGAGCGAAGCACGAGCACTGATGATTGGGGCTAGGGGGCCACCAAGGGTCCCTAGGTCGAGGTTCAGGGTTCCAGGGCCATTAATATTATTAACTAAGACCAATCAATACATAACATAAACCATGTACATATAAAAATTATTATGTTTAATAATTCCTCGTCGGTGCTTGCATAAAACGTGATTTGGATCTAACATGATGATATTGATAAGCAATCAAAATTCTCTGTACAATATTATGCTAAACATTTACAGAGTGGATTTCCTTATGTTGTGGTCATATTAGACTGTAATATTATTATTAAGAAGTCCATTCAACAAACAACATAAAACATATACATATCTAATTTATT